TCCCTCCGCCTGTGGCACCTGGGGCAGAGGACGTGCGTGCAGGAGCTCCCTGCCCACCGCAAGAAGCACGAGGAGGCCGTGCTGGCCGTGGCCTTCCACCCCCGGCGCGCCCTCAGCGCCAGCGCCGGCGCCGACGCCCTCGCCAAGGTCTTCGTGTGACGGCCCCGCCCCTGGGGGTGGCACCGGGGGGCACCGGGGGGCCTCCTGGAAGCACCTGGTTTGGTGGCACTGCTGGGATTCGCTCACCTGGCTCGGGGGTGACACGTGTGAGGTGGCACCGAGTGGCCTCCTGGAAGCACCTGGAGGGACCTGCTTTGGTGGCACCGCTGGGATTCGGTCACCTGGCATGGGGGTGACACGTGTGAGGTGGCACCAGGTGGCATCGGTGGCCTCCTGGCAGCACCTGGAGGGACCTGGTTTGGTGGCACTGCTGGGATTTGCTCACCTGGCTCGGGGGTGACACGTGTGAGGTGGCACTGGGTGGCCTTGGTGGCCTCCTGGAAGCACCTGGAGGGACCTGGTTTGGTGGCACTGCTGGGATTCGCTCACCTGGCTCGGGGGGTGACACGTGTGAGGTGGCACCAGGTGGCATCGGTGGCCTCCTGAGAGCACCTGGAGGGACCTGGTTTGGTGGCACTGACAGGACTCGGTCACCTGGCATGGGGGTGACACAAGTGAGGTGGCACCGATGGGATTCGGTCACCTCCCAGGGACCAGGGGGACACAGGTCAGGTGGCACCAGGTGGCACCAGGTGGTCTCTGTCACCTCCCTCAGTCCTGGAGGGACCAAGGGGACACAGGTGAGGTGGCACTGGGTGGCCTTGGTGGCCTCCTGAGAGCACCTGTTGGGACCCAGGGGGTGGCACTGACAGGACTCGGTCACCTGGCATGGGGGTGACACAAGTCAGGTGGCACCAGGTGGCACTGGGTGACCTTGGTGGCCTCCTGGAAGCACCTGGAGGGACCTGGTTTGGTGGCACCGCTGGGATTCGCTCACCTGGCTCGGGGGTGACACGTGTGAGGTGGCACCAGGTGGCACTGGGTGGCCTCGGTGGCCTCCTGAGAGCACCTGGAGGGACCCAGGGGGTGGCACTGACAGGACTCGGTCACCTGGCATGGGGGTGACACGTGTGAGGTGGCACCGAGTGGCCTCCTGGAAGCACCTGGAGGGACCTGGTTTGGTGGCACCGCTGGGATTTGCTCACCTGGCTCGGGGGGTGACACGTGTGAGGTGCCACCGATGGGGTTCAGTCACCTCCCAGGGACCAGGGGGACACAGGTCAGGTGGTACCGGGTGGCCTTGGTGGCCTCCTGGAAGCACCTGGAGGGACCTGGTTTGGTGGCACCGCTGGGACTCGGTCACCTGGCTTGGGGGTGACACGTGTGAGGTGGCACCGGGTGGCACCAGGTGGCCTCAGTCACCTCCCTCAGCCCTGGAGGGACCAGGGGGACACAGGTGAGGTGGCACCGGGTGGCCTTGGTGGCCTCCTGGAAGCACCTGGAGGGACCTGGTTTGGTGGCACCGCTGGGATTTGCTCACCTGGCCCGGGGGTGACACGTGTGAGGTGGCACCAGGTGGCACTGGGTGGCCTTGGTGGCCTCCTGAGAGCACCTGGAGGGACCAGGGGGACACAGGTGAGGTGGCACCAGGTGTCCTTTGTCACCTCCCCCTGTCAGTGCCATCCCTGGGGGTGACACAGGTGAGGTGGCACCGGGTGGCACCAGGTGACCTTGGTCACCTCCCAGGGACCAGGGGGACACGTGTGAGGTGGCACCAGGTGGTACCAGGTGGTCTCTGTCACCTCCCCCTGTCAGTGCCATCCCTGGGGGTGACACAGGTGAGGTGGCACCGGGTGGCACCAGGTCACCTGCCCCTGTCAGTGCCATCCCCGGGGGTGACACAGGTGAGGTGGCACCGGG